CATAATATCTTGACAGGAGAAGAGGATTTCTCTTAGTGCAGTGAGTACCAACTGAAGCGCTTTTTGTCCTTTCCCATCTGTTCCTGTGGTGGAAGTTACTCCCCTTAAGCCACAATGTGTGAACAGTACCAACTATTAATATCCAGAATATTGATAAAATCAGTATCAGCTAGTCCAGGACATGACCACCAACCAGAACAAAAGAAAATATTGTAAAAACGTCTCAAAGTCCATTCTCCTCTCCCTTCTTTATATAACCTCCCATAATCTCCACCATAATCTCCAAGACATCAAGACAGATTTGGAAGCCCATTTACCCTGTCTCCTAGAAATAGGTATACAACACAATTTCTGAACACAACTCTATTTTTCTTTCTCTTCTTCCGTCCATCCGTCACTCCATGCACCCTCATTGTCAGCTAGTCAGAACTAACACATAGCTGACCCTCCAGCAGGTTTTCAGAGGCTGCTGGTGGATTTGAATCACTTGCTATTAGGTTGGTAGCTCAATTCTTTACCCATTAGGCTACCAGAACTCCGTATCATAAATATACTTAACAAAATTAATGCTACTTTCTGAATATCATCTACTATACTATCCATATTCAAATTTCCTCAGTCTGAAGCATTGTCTAAAAAGAAAATTTATTTCACAGCTTCATAGGTAACAAGGAAAGAAAGTGCAAAACTTGTATCTTAATTAAATGTAAGTATGAGATTGAGATGGTTAACAGCTTCAGTTTGCTTGCTTCACTATCAACACTTTTGATACCAGCAGCCAAGAAATCAAACAATGAATTGCATTGGGAAAATCTGCTCTCAGGGATCTCTTGAGAGTACTGAAGAGCAATGATGTCAGTCTGGAGAATAAGGTGCACCTGATCCAAACTATAGTCTTTGCAGTTCCATACTATGCATCAGAAAACAGAACAATGACTAAGGATGATAGAAGGAAAATTGATGCCTTTGAGTTGTGATGCTGGAGAAGGGTATTGAATATACCATGGACTGCAGGGAGAACAAACAATTTCATCCCCGAGAGGGTAAAACCAGGGTGTTCCTTGGAGGCGAGGACTCTGAAGCTCCATCTGACATACTTTGGGCATGCTGTACGGCAGGACCTTAGGTGTCCTTAGAGAGGGACATCATGCTTGGGAGAGTGAAGGGACAGTGTAAGAGAGGAAGACCATTGATGAGATGGATTGACTCAGTAACTGGAGTAATAGGTATATGTGTATCAGAGACAATAAGTTTGGCACAGGACAGAGCAGGTTTCAGGGCTATTGAACCTAGGGATGCTAAGAGTCACAAGTGACTCAACAGCACTTCACAACAACATAAATATCACATGCTGATTTAAAATTTTGTCTTACTGTGGTTTTCAGCCTAAGAAGTTTAAAGATCACGGTTCTTGGTCAGTGGTTCTCAAACTATGGTCCCTGCACCAGTATCACCTGGGAACCTGCTTGAAATAAAATTTTTTGGTGCAACCAAGACTACTGAGCCTAAGTGGCTCAGTATTTAAAAAAGTCCTCCACATAATTGGACTAAATTATGATGTTCATGAGCAGCCTAGATTGAACGGCCTCCGTGGTGCCATAGCCTGACTCATTGTCACTCTTTGCACTGTGAGCTGTGTTCAGTCTCATTACTTTCCATAGTGGGTTTTCTGTCTTCCTCTCCATTTAATAGTCTTCCAAAAAAGGCGAAATCCAGTTCTTAGCACTGCCTGGAGGATCATTAATTTTGCCAAGTTTGGATAAATCCTTATCTAGAGACAGAAGATGGCCTAGTTTCTTTTTCTTAAAAAATGCGTTCTTGTACAAGCAGCATCTGTGAAAGGACATGAAAATCTTTAAAGGATGGTAATGAGGCTTAAATGATGTTTGTCAGATGCTGCACATCATGCTGCATACAGCTGTCACTCAATACCCAGTGTGGATGGTTGCTGTACTTGACAGTGCCTATCACAACCTTGGGCATATCGTAGATGATCAGATCATGACTGTGTTAATGCGTTCGTTGTTGAGGGAGGCAAGATATACTTGCCTCTTCCCCTGATCTTCTCATATAAAAGAACAATGTGGTTTAGATGAGGTTGCTATAGAGACAGAAAAGTGACCATAATTATTTTTGTGTGTTGTCAGGTTAATTCTGACTCATAGCGACCCTATGTGGCAGATTAGAACATTTTCTAAGCATGATGTTACTGTTGTTAGGTGTCATCGAGTTGACTGCAACTCATAGTGATGCTCTGAACAGTGGCTCTGAACCCTGCTCCATCCTGTGCCATCCTCATCATCTCTGTTATACTGACCCCATTGTTACAATCACTGTGTCAATCCACCTGGATGTGAGTCTTCTCTTCCATTCCCTCCACCTTTCCAAGAATGAGGTCCTTTTCCAAGGACTGGCCCCTCCTAAGAGCAAGCCCCAAACATATGAGATGAAGTTTCACCATCCCTGCTTCTAAGGAGCACCCTTATTTCTCCTGTGGAGCTGCTGGTAGAGTTGAACTGCCACCGTTTGGATAGCACCGTAAGCCCCCTATGGACTATGCCATGAGAGCTCTTAAAACCATAATTAGGATGGTGAAAAAGAAATTGGAAGGGGGAAGGGTGGGGAGTAGGTAGGAAGATAGGAAGAGCCACAGTGGGGACAATGACCATTTTCAAGAAGGAACAGGTGATGTGGGCTATTGAATATCATGCAGCCACTTCCTCCCTTATCATTGGTATGCAGAATTTCTGGAAAAAGAAAATGGAGATCATAGACCACATCCTCAAGGCACAGAAGAAATAACAGAAGCCTTAGGAAAACAAGAGTTAGAGATGGGGACAGAATTGGTTTCTGAGGACAAGAACTGCTTGCTATATTCTGCCACTGGTTCCATAGAATTTATCTCCATGGAAACCTCTGAAAAATTGTGAAGGTGCAGAGGATGTGGGAAAGGAAAGCCTCATTCTGAGTATGACTTATTTCTTTTCCATATTTTTCCATTTCTATTCATAAGCTCCTCTGCTTCCTCTTCCTCCCACATCTCTTCTATCTCTCTCCTTTTCACAATTCTCTCTCATAAAGAGCCTTCTCAGGCTGGCTTCCTCCCGATTACCTTTCCCAGACTGGCATGCCCACCACAACATCACCCATTTCTAGAATCTCCCCAGTCTGGCACTTCCTATTCCCCCCACAGAACACATTATTTTCAGAGGACTGAAAAACAAACAAAATCTGCCTCACAATTGACTCTGATTGAGCATCAGGGTTCTGAAGACAAACAACAGAATATAATATCATCTGGTTCCTTGAAAATATATGTGACCATTTGAATGGCCAGAAATCACTATGGAAACACAATTTAAGCTGTGTCACCCCTACACACAAACCCACCCGCCCACCCTAGGTTCCTCAATTAATTTCTGAAATGTTCACAAGAGATTGTTAGGAAAATGGCTACTCTCCTGGTGCACGAGCTAACAGCATCTTTTAACCCCAGCTCACAACTGAGTAACAGAAAGCAGTTTCAAATGCCCCTAAACATTTGGGGTGTGTAGGTACTAGCAGAAATAGGATCCAAGGTATTTGAGACTGTGTTATTTTTATGTAGAAGTCAAACTGTTGATCTTTTGTTGTTTGGAGCCATTCAAGGAGCCACCACCAGATAGTTGCTCCAAGAATATGTCCCTGGGTGGAGAAGGGGGACAGTATGAGGGATGTGCCAACAGGGGAGATTCCTCCTAAGAAGAAGTATTGGTGGGCTCCACAGGTAGTAGAGGAAGTTGTGGTACAGGCAAGTAGCTGCAGAAAGAAAAAGGGTCACACTGTGAAGACTCTAGTGCGCAAAGGCACTCCCGGCCCACGCTTTTAGTGCAGATGTGTCCAGTGAAGATTGTAAATGCCTAAGGAAACTGAAGCAGATGTGTCCAGTGAAGGCTGTAAATGCCCAAGGAAACCGAGAATGCGGGCAAGTACAGCCACTCCATACCAACATCATTTCAGCCATCCCGGCCTGGAGTCAGGAGATGGGGGCGGGCAACATGGCCTCACCTGGGCTAGGTGGAGGAGGGGCCCATGGACAAGAAACCAAGGCGGAAAGGGCGCACAGGTCCGCTTGTTGAACCCCTGAGAGGGCTGCAGAGTCAAAAGCCATTCCTGGATTTCCTCACAATCCTGAGAACAGACTGAAAGTCGTCTCCCAGGCGCTGACTCGAAACAGGGAAGGGGAGTGGATTCCTAGTCATAAAAATACAGGGTACTCTGGCGGTGCGCACTCTGCCCCTCTCTCCTGCCCGGACCTCCCTGAGCCCGGCACCGCCCCGAGCCCGGCCAGTGGGCTCTAATGCAAGAGGCGCAGCGAGCGCGGGACGGGGGCGCGCTGTGCGGAGGAACCCCGGTCTCCGGCCGTCTCCCCGCCTCCGCCCTCAGCGCACGCAGTCACCGCGCTGCGCGTCCCCACTGTGCCCACGGCGCGGGCCAAGCCTCAGCCCACCCACCTTCCGGAGGCCGCGTGGAGACAGGAGGGCCCGGCGCCCTGGGTACATAAGACACTGAGCGTCACAGCGGGAAGCGCGGCGGCTGTTTCAGCGGATCTCTCTACTTGCCTTTTTTGGCCCTTTCTTGGCACACCCTTTTAACTACATTTTTCATCCTTCTAAATGCTATATCTTACGCTTGGAAAGCTGCCAGATTCACTCTTTTAAACTACCACCCCTATAGGGTGTGGCTGGCGCGCGTGGTCCCAGCAACACGGGACGTAGCCTCTGCTGCGCGTGAACCTTGCTTGAGGCCTGGAGAGAGGCTGACCAGCCTCCGGAGGTGCTGCCTATACAGAATCACCCGCAGCAGCTTACAATTTTGGTGTTTTTGTTGTTTATTCTGAGTGCTTTTTTTTTTTTTTTTT